GATTCCACCATCAGACTAATGGACGGTCAGAAAAGATGATCCGCACACTTGAAGATATGCTCCGAGCTTGTGTCCTTAACTTCGGGGGCCATTGGGATGACTATCTACCTCTGATAGAGTTTGCCTACAACAATAGCTACCAAACAAGTATTGACATGATTCTGTATAAGGCATTGTATGGCCGCCCATGCAAATCGTTGATATGTTGGGAAGATGTGAGTGATAGAAAACTATTCGGCCCAGATCTTGTAAATGAGACTATAGTCAAAATAGTTAAGATAATGAAGAACATTCAGATAGCGTAGAGTAAACAGAAGAGTTATGCAGACATCCGAAAAAGAGATTTGAAATTTGAGAAAGACGATCAAGTATTCCTTAAGGTCACTCATTTCAAGGAAATCCGTAGATTTGGCAAGAGGGGGAAGCTAAATCCTCATTTTATTGGGTCATTTGAAATCTTAGACAGAATTTACACCGCTACCTACAGACTGATACTGCCTCTAGAACTTTTCAGGGTCCATAATGTATTTCATGTGTCCATACTACGCAAGTACAACCCAGACTCCTTTCACGTATTGGCTCACGAGCTTCTTTCACTCTAAGAGGATCTGTCCTATGAGGAAGTACCGGTCGGTATTGTGGACCGAAAGAGCATATTACTCCACAACTAGAAAATTTTATTGGTTAAGGTCCTATGGTAGAATCACACACCGAGAGAAGCCACATGAGAGCTAGAATTAGACTTTAGAACCCAATACCCATAACTGTTTGATTGAGCGAGAGAGAGATAAATTTGAGGGATCAAATTTCTTTTAAGAGGGAGAAAGTTTTAATGCCCAATTAATTTTAAAGTATTTAAAATTAATTTATAAATATAATTTTTTATATTTTTAAATTTTAAATTAATATAAAAATGAAGAAAAATAAGTGAAGGATGAAATTGAAAATAATTTTGGGAAAAAATGGGTAAAATTTTGGATTATGAGGGTATTTTTGAAAGAAAAATTAGAAACTGGAGTTCAAAACGTAATTTAAGAAAGTTGTGCCATGCAGGATGCCCATTCAGCAGTCCCAACGAACCAGAACGTGCCGTATGGCAACAGACACTGGCATGGTGCCACACGGAAGGCCATGCGAGCGATCTACGTGCCCGCGATCGGACGACCCAGATTCACTTCTGTGCGCATGAACGGTCCAGATGCGTTCCCTCCCCAAACGCAATCGGACTGTCAGATTTAAATGTGATTAACGGTCTAGATCCACTTTTTATTTAAACACGATTGGTTGGTTCAGATCAGATTGTGATGAACAGTCTAGATTCACTCCCTATTTAATCACGATCGGATAGTTCAGATCAAATGCGATGGACGGTCCAGATTAAAAAGGGACGGATATACATAACTCTTTTAACACCAAACCCTAACCCTAGCCGCCAGACATCCTCACCAGAAAAGAAAACCCAACTTTTGGAAAGGAGAGCCGCCGCCACCCACCGCCGTGCCGGAGCTACTTCTGACTGCCAAAAGA